TTACACACCAACCACTAAGGCCAAAGATAAAGCAATTGAAGATTTTTATCAATTTCCGCAATCTGAAATTGATCAAACATGCAATCAAGACGCATCGATAATTACTGGTGATTGGAATGTGAAAGTTGGAAACGAAGAATCAGTAGTTGGAAAACATGGCCATAGTGATAGAAATGATGCTGGAGATCACATGACAAAATTTTTCAAGACTAACAACTTATTCATTGCAAATACCTTTTTTCAACAACATAAACAGCAACTGTACACTTGGACATTGCCAGATGGAATACACAGGAATCAAATCAACTACATCTGTGGAAAGAGATGATGGAAAGCTCAATATTATCAGTCAGAACAAGGCCAGGGGCCAACTGTGGAACAGATCATCAATTGCTCATGTGCAAGTTCAAGCTGAAGATGAAGACAATTAGAACAAGTCCACAAGAGTCAAAGTATGACCTTGAGTGTATCCACCTGAATTTAGGACCATCTTAAAGAATAGATATGATGCATTGAACACTAATGACCGATAACCAGAGGAGTTGTGAAATGATATCAAGTATATCATACATGAAGAAAGCAAGAGGTCATTAAAATGACAGGAAAGAAAGAAAAGACCAAAACAGATGTTAGAAAAGATTCTGAAACTTGCTCTTGAACAGAACAAGGGGATGCTGCATGGTTTAAAGTCAACAAAGTTGTGCGTCAGGGTGGTATCCTTTTACTGTACCTACTGAGTCTGTATACTGAGCAAATAACCTGAGAAGCTGGACTATATAAAGAAGAACACAGCATCAGGATTGAAGGAAGACGCATTAACAACCTCCAATATGCAGATGACACAACCTTGCTTGCTGAAAGTGAAGAGGACTTGAAGCACCTACTGAAGAAGATCAAAGACTACAGCCTTCAGTGTGGATTACACCTCAACATAAAGAAAACAAAAATCCTCCCTACTGGACCAAAAAACAACATCATGATAAATGGAGAAAAGATTGAATTTATCAAGGATTTCATTTTACTTGGATCCACAGTCAACACCTATGGAAGGAACAGTCAAGGAATCCAACAACATATTGCATTGGGAAATCTGCTGTAAAAGACCTGTTTAAAGTATTCAAAAGCAAAGATGTCACTTTAAGGACTAAGATGGACCTAACCCAAGCCATGGCTCAGGACCAGGCAATGTTTTGTTCTGTTGTTCATAGGGTCACTATGAGTTGGAACCGACTCGACGGCACGTAACAACTAAGAGCTCGTTAGTCTAAATATATAAAACCAAGGAATTTGTAGGAGCAGTAAGAACTGAAAGTTGGCTTTGTGATTTAAAAAAATGGAAAAACAAAACACCTTGGTTTTCTTGAAGGAAAGGAACAGCACTGGTGTGAACACTTTGCTACTACATACTCACATCCTGGGTGGCAAGCCCCTCACTTGCTGTCCTCAGGAGGGGGAAAAATCAAGACAATCAGCATTGTTGCTTCAAATGGGTAATTAATATGTGGATACTCCTTGCAGCCCAGTGTCCATGACAAGCCACAAAGCCATGAAGTGGGATTACCCCTCGTTGTTGTTGTCATTATGTGCCATGGAGTCAGTTCCAACTCATAGCAACCCTATGTACAACAGAATGAAACACCACCTGATCCCGCACCATTCTCACAATCGTTGTTATTCTTGACCCATTGTTGCAGCCACTGTGTCGATCCATTTCATTGAGGATCTTCCTCTTTTTCGCTGACCCTCTACTTTACCAAGCATGATGTCCTTCTCCAGGGAATGAGCTCTCCTGATAACATGTCCAAATTATGTAAGACAAAGTCTTACCATCCTTTCCTCTAAGGAGCATTCTGACTGTAATTCTTCCAAGACAAATTTGTTTGTTCTTCTGGCAGTCCATGGTATATTCAATATTCTTCACAATACCATAATTCAAAGGCATCAATTCTGCCGTCTTCCTTATTCATTGTCCAGCTTTCGCATGCATATGAGGTGATTGAAAATACCATGGCTTGGGTCAGGTGCACCTTAATCCTCAAAGTGACATCTTTGGTTTTTACCACTTAGATAAAGAGGTCTTTTGCAGCCGATTTGCACAGTGCAATATGTCATTTGATTTCTTGATTGCTGCTTCTATGGGTGTTGATTGTGGATCCAAGTA